ACCTTTTTGTCTCCAATATTCATCTTTCTTACCAGGCTCCTGATAAAATGGCCAGGCCATTGGCTACAGCCCAGGAATCCACAAAGATTCTCACCTTGAGACACTCCCCCAACACAAGTGGATGACCAAGTGCGTGGCTTGCAACTCCAACCTTTTCCCTTTCCAATTTCTTTCAGGGCCACTCTGGAACATGGTCACAGTATTGCTACCATCTCTATTGGTTTGTACCCACAAGTGAACCAATCCATTCATAAACCAAAGCTCAGACTTTTCCTCCTCTTTCATCTGATTATATGGGACTGCTCATATGGCCATAAGTACAAGCAGGAGGAGGGGAGCTAGAATAACTGATGTGGGTGACCTGAGGATTGGACTGCCTGCTCACATAGCCTACTTGTGCTGTCTGGTCCCACTTAGGAACCTCCTGCTGGGAAGTCTTCCTTCCCAGATGTGCTATTTTCACTTTATGATAGTGTGCTGATGGTATTTTGTTTGTTTGTTTGTTTGTTTGTTTGTTTGTCTCATGGCCAAGCAATTTGTTTCCACCAGGGCCCCCAAACATGTCAAAACCATCTCTCTAACGGCATTTAATTTTGTGCTGTGGACAGCATGGCCTTGATTTATAATTCCATTACAGGGTCTATGGCTGGCTTTCCATAAGCTTCATATTACATCTTTTCCCACTAATGATATCTCCAACACCGTAGGGTCTTTCCAAATCATATGACCGAAGCAGCAGGACTGCTTATACCCCAGGCTGGACCTACTGCAGAGCCCTTTCCTGCACTGGGTCCCACTCAAAGTTGGCAACCTTCTGTGTCACCTAACATAAGGGCCTGGTCAATATTTCTAGATGAGGAATGTACTGCCTCTAGAACCAAAGAGGTCTACCATGCATGGGATTCAATTTTTGTGGTAAAGAATTCAGTATGCATGTGGGGTTTCTTTGTTTTGTTTTGATTTATTTGCCTTTATCATGGGCAAACTTCTTTTTGTCTTTTCCTCCTAAGTTTTCAGGTCTACGTAGGCCTTTGATTCAATTTAGGGAGAGAGACTGCATCAACAAAAAGCAGAAAAAAATGGTCTAGGCAATAGTTAATTACTACTTAATACTGAGTAGAAAATAATGGGACTTTACTGAGAAACATTTCTAAATTATTTCCAAAGTACTATATCTCTCATTTATTTAATGAAAAAAATAATGTATCTAATAATTAGGGGCTTGGAAAGGAGAAGAATGTTTCCTGTGATCTTTGCCTCCAAATTTTCCTAAAATACTCCATAATACAATTTAATTTGCACAAATTTTCTAATTTTCCTTAGAATGAAAAGATGGCTTAAATAACCATTAGTTTTAACACCCAAAATAATCATTACTATGTAAATTGTAGATTTTTATGATAAAACAATTGAGAAATTTAGAAAAAGGAAGCCAAAAACAATTTAAATGGAAACTGAGTTTAATTTAAATCATTTACATCTAAATGAAGGATGAATAAAGTGGTGGTTGCAGACTCATTAATAAAAGGGAAAAGTTGGCAATTGTAAATGCCTGCAATTATATTACTATTTAAATTTACATTTTACCATAAAATTTAAATTTTATGTGTAAGATTAATTTAGAAAGATATGGAATAAGCATTAATTCACATTTGAATAAGACTTGCATAACACTTGTGTGCATATGATAATATTTAACAAAAATCTGTATTATAACTTGCAAGGAAATACATAATTTATTTATAATGAAGGTAGTTTTCCTACTCAATTATGAATTTATAATGAAGGTAGTTTTTCTATTCAACTATGAAAGTCCCACTTCCAACAAAACACACCAAAATTAACATAAAATTATGATTCAATTTAAATTTCCATCTTTAAACTCTTCAGAGTCTTCTCTGGTAAACAGATCCAAAGACAGGTTAATCCTAAATAAAAGATGACAAAATTGAATCTTGTTAAGATAAAATGTCATGGTCAATAGTCACTGAAATATTTTAACATTTCTAAGACTGCTAAGCAACAGTTAGCCACTCTCTGTATTTACTGTTTTGATAATTTTTATGTTCTCTAGTTGACCATAAAAAGCTTCTAACGCACTCAATATGTAACTCATTTTTCTTCTCCACTCCAGCTCCTGCCAATAATCTTGATGACTTCAACAGCTCCAGTTACAGAAACTGTGTCACAAAAACACTATATCATAGTCCTTTATCTCCAGGCCGCTTCAAGCCACTCACAAGCAGGGTTATCACTTTGGACAATGTCATCACTTGGCACTTCTGCTTTACTTCTAGGTGCGGAAACTCTCAAATTGTTCCTAGCTGATGTATTTCTATACTCCTAAGTTTTGTACCCCTACACTGTCACCGAACAAGACCATTGCAACCCTTTGAACTGCCAAGCCCCTAATCTCCTATAAGCTTCATCTGTACCCCGCTCATGACTTCTGATTAAGCTCCTAGAATCACTCTTTGAAACTAAGATTCCTCTTCATCCTAGACATCACCAACATTGTGTTCTCAGTCCTCTCCTCCCCCTCCATCCTCACACTGAGGTTTTCATGCACATCTACTGCCACCACTACCTATGACCTTCATGCAGCATAGATTGTACCCTAGCTCCAATAGGACACTTCCAGCTGCGCCCTTGGAATTTTCACCTGAATACCTCATTACAGCTAAAGTTCAACACACCAAAATAAAATTCAGTAGTTTCACAAAACCAGCTCTTCTTTTAACTTCCTTCTTTCTTAACTACTCATTTGCAGAACTTAGGATCATCTCTCTTATCCCCTACAGCAAATCCTTTGTCTCCTCTCCACCCACTCTGCTACTCCCATTTAAGTGCATTTCACTTTCGCTTGGACCCTGTCAGAATCCCCAGTTTTTTCACTTCCTGTCTTGCCTCCATTCCAAACCTTTCTACAAAATAACATCAGATTCTTTCTAAAATGCAGATCTGATCAATCCACTGCTTTAAAATGTTCTATACTGATGATGTACAAGGTATTTGCATAGTCTTTCATCATGTTTCCATAAAATACTTATTAATTACAAAAGGAAAAATAAATTCCCTAAATTTGATCATTGTTGTGTGGTTATATAAAAGATATCTTTGGGGCACCTGGGTGGTTCAGTCATTAAGCATCTGCCTTCGGCTCAGGTCATGATCCCAGGGTCCTGGGATTGAGCCCCGCATCGGGCTCCCTGCTCGGCGGGAAGCCTGCTTCTCCCTCTCCACTCTCCCTGCTTGTGTTGCCTCTCTCACTGTGTCTCTCTCTGTCAAATAAATAAAGTCTTTAAAGAAAAAAAAAATATCTTTGTCCTTAGGATATATACACTAAAGTATTAAGGGATAATATTTATAAATTATATATAAATATATAATATATATATTTTTAGAGAAAGAGAGAGCTTAGGGAGAGGGCCAGAGGGAGAAGGAGAGAGAGAATCTCAAGCAGACTCCACACTCAGCATGCAGCCTGACACAGGGCTTGATCTGGCCACCCTGCGACCATGACCTGAGCCAAAATTAAGAGTCAGATGCTTAACTGACTAAGCTACCCAGGCACCCCTTAAGGGGTAATATTTTATACACACACATATACACACAGAGAAAGAGAGAAAGTGTCTAAGAATTAGAAAGCAAATGTGACAAGATGTTAAAAATCAGTGAAACTAGGTAAAGGGTGTGCTGGAGTTCTTTGTATTATTCTTGCAACTTTTCTGTACATTTGAAATCATTTAGAATAAAGGGTTAAGAAGATGTTTCTTTATTGCCTACTTAATGGAATACAAATATTACTCACATGAGACCCTTTGAAATATAGTCTCAGTATATTTTTATACCTTTCTTCACAATGACTACCGTAAACAAGGTTTGATCAAACTGTTCATTCCTGAACATTTTCTTGGACTCCATAGAACTTGCTCATGTCCATGTCTAAAATATACTCCCCTCCCCCCCACATCCCCATGTACAAAAGTCTGATTTCTCTTTCCCAACACCCAGCTTACTTTTCTAGTACTTTCCAAACCCCACCAAACTGGATGTAATCTCTCCCTAGAAATTCAATGAACCCAGATCATTAGCAAACCAAGGCCCAAATAAAATGAAAGGAGGAAAGATGATTCACTCGATTCAAACCATGTAATATTTCAAAATAACTGTAGAATTGCCTACAGAAATTCAGAGTTCAAAGATAGAAGGAAGATGTCATTTAAGGGTCATACACACAGTAATTGAAGCTATAAAAATGGGTATGTTGGGGCTCCTGGGTGCCTTAGTCGGTTAAGCATCAGCCTTTGGCTCAGGTCATGACCCAGGGTCCTGGGATCAAGCCCCACTTCAGGCTCTCTGCTCAGCAGGGAGCCTGCTTCTCCCTCTCCCTCTGCCTGCCGCTCCCCCTGCCTGTGCTCTCTCTCTCACTCTCTCTTTCTTTCTGTCAAATAAATAAATAAATAAAATTTTTAAATGGGTATGTTATCTCAGAATAAACATGTAAAGAGAGAGCAGAACCACAATTACTCCCAGGGCAGGATTTGTTTTTAAGTGGTAGCAAAAGGGACAAATGAAAAATATACGGAAAATATGGTCAGAAAGGCAGAAAGAGAACCATGTCATAACCTCCAGGACACTAAGAAAGAAGAAAATTGAAAGTAGTAGTAAGATAATATTAAATGTGACAAGTTCAAAGAGAAAAGGGACCTAGAAGATATAAACAAAGAAACAAACCCACAAAAATCATGGGCCATGGAAAGAGTAGTTTCAATAGCACCGTGAATATGGGGCCCAAATGATGTTTATTAAATTTCAACAAATATTTAATTAGGGCTTACTATGTGCCAAGCACTGGGTTTCAGGAAGGAAACAGGCTGGAATTAGCAATGGGTATACACTAAAGGTTGGAAAAGGTAAGATGTAAAAGGGAAGGAAATAAAGCCTACACTTTATAATTGTTATATAAATGGATTCTTACCAGAAGATGATAAGAAGATTCATCTTGTGTAATTTGAGTCTAGGAACAACATAAAATATACAGAAGATTCAAGTTGGCCTCTAGCACTGTTTTTCCCATTAATAAATACGTAATAAAAAATAAGAATTATAATACACTTCTAAAACATTATTATTAGTTTTTATAATCTGGTTTAAAATTGTAATGCAAAATAATAAATTACAAGGTACTTGTTTATAACAGGCTATTTCTGGAAAACACAGAATATTATTTTAAGTTGCCAAATAAGCCTTGCAAGTTTACTTGACGGTTAGTAATAAACGTCACATGAGAATTGACAAGTTCGAGGTTATGGTCAGAGCAAAATTAGATGTAATCTGTTTATTAAAGTAACTGGATCTGGATTAACACCTAGAACAATGCCCAGGGTTTGTGTGCATTGCTCTGCCTATTCAAACATCCTTTTCACCTAAAAAACCACGGACTTCTTTTTTCCTCCTAATCCCCACTTCTGTCTCATTCTCCTTAATTGAATAAATAGAGTATCACTAATCTGAACATTGGCTTATATGTCATTATTGCAAACAATTTATGCTATTATTAATGCAATATTACACAAACAGTAATGAGTTTCCAGTGTAACACTGCTTACAAAATGGCATTCTATTCTAATTATCATCTTATGAAAATATTCTTCACAAAACTCAATTCTGCAGATTTACTGACTGTCAAAATAGAAGCTGTTATCAAGTGACTGTACTAAGAACCTATAGAAGTGTTCAGCATGGTAACATGAGTATTATGACAAGTATGTGAAGGAAAGGGAATAACTATTATGATCTACCAATTCATGTGGCATTATTAGTTACATAAATTTTATCCAACTTAATTGTTTGAGAATCCAGAACTTCCTATTACTTTAATAAGTATACTAGATTACATCTAATTTTGCTCTGCCCACAATATCAATTCAATATTGATGCAGCTTTAGAACATGGTTTAATTTATGAGTTGTTTTCCAGGAATGAATTAACGACATCAAGGCCATAATTCAAGGGCAGTTTTGTTAAATACATTAAATTAGACTGCAGCATCCATGGAAGGAAGTGACTATATGAACTGACACAGAATTTATCATTTTATATTGCAGTTAAAATGTTTTCCTTCATCAATATGGATGAGTTTTGTAATCTGTATTACAAAGCTGGCATTAAAATTCAGATTTAACAGACAAGTGTGTTCCTTTTGCTCAATAAATTTAGTCAACATTTACCTTCTATGCTCCTCCACTCACACCTACACCTGTGGTCTAGTCTATAACTCAGTGCTTTAAAATGTTTTGTACTTTTAATTATGATGAACAGTGATAAAATGGTGGCTGCATTTCTATAGTTCTGTACACTGAATGTGACAATTAGGAAAAGTACTAGACTAATGTGACCCAAGGGTGACTAAACGGTTAGGAAAGCCAGTCTTCTTTAATACAATCAAAAATTGTGTTAACTTACTTTCACAAGATAGTTGTTGGCATTTCAGCCTGAATCTATATTTTTCATTTTCTTCAAGCATTCTAGAAATGACTTTGTACACTCTATTCCATACTGAAACCTTAAAAATATAAGCACAGTTAAGGAACACTGAGCAGAGAAGCAGGAATACATTTTCACAGAGGCAACTGGCAGTGACTCAACCATGCTGCATGTCAACTGATATCACTATAAAACAATAATAGCACTTAGAGACCTAAAACTTAAATGTAATTGTTTTCCCATAATCAGTGATCTCTTCTGCTAACTTCCTAGCATTTCCTCTCTGTAGTATTTACGTTAACCCTCCTGGATGAAGGCAATGTCTATAAAGTCCTACCTAAGTTGTTCCAACACATTCAATTTTGTTTTCAACAGTTATAAAAATAGTGAGTTTCTAGAGATTTTTCATGTATTTTATTCTAGTTAAGAATTAAACATTTCTCCTAGGACATACCAAAGCAAAAATTACCAGACACCATGAATATACTAGAATAGAAAGAGTGAGAACTATGGAAGCAAATAGATCTAGGCTCGGATTCTGGCTTTGCCACTTAACAGTTGCTTGACGTTGGGCAAGTGTTCTACATCTCATCTAGTAATAACTTCATATATTGGATTATTAGAATTAATGAAAAATATATGTAAATATATGAAATGTATGTAAAGCACATACCCCAGTAAGTGACATATAGTAGTTATAAGTAAACATTGGCTATTGCTCTGTTCTCCTCACCCAAGGGGAATTGGTTCTTGGAAGAAATAGTTCTTAGTATAGTGGGAAGATTAGATGCACACTCAAAATACATTTAGGATGAATCACCTTGAATGCTATTTTAATACCATGCATGGGTTGTAACTCATACAAACTCAAAGCTTAGAAACAATACAATTTTATGTGTCATTATCAACTAACAGTTTCTTTAAACCAAAGTGTAAAATATATGGTGGAAAACAAAGATCTGTAGAGCTAGTGATCTTGAATATGTTTAAAACACTCAAGTTACCGTGACATTTGGACAACTAGAGGTGAAAATGGTTCAGCAGTAAAGGTTCATCCTTGTTAGCTTTCCTTCTACAAACTAAATGTATATCCCTTCTCTTTAAAAGAGCAATATGACACCAGTATAAATACGTTATTCTTTTCTGTTAAATCCATGACTTTCTCTTTATATTACACTATCTATCAAAGTTTGCTATATTCTATGAAACATATATTTTCATACTTTGAAAAATCTCCCATTACATTTTGATTAAAATGTGTTTATATCTTCAAACACTGGAAGGACTGTTCTCTACAGTTAATAAATATTTCCAAACCCAGTTCCATTTCTGCTAAATTAATTCTATTTTCTCATTTCAGTAAATTAAACTTTCAAAAGATGGAACTATTTTTACTGTTGAGTATCTTCACACATTTGTATTTAGAGAGGTTAATCTAAAATTCAAATATTGCTCATTCTCCTTTATAATATACCTTTTTCTTTTTCTTCATTATTTTGGAAACTTCATTCAAAGGGATGGGGAAATCAAACTTTTTAGCTAAATTCTTCTGGGTTAAACCTAATTTTAAAAAAAGAGAGTGAAAAGGTAAAAGATCAAGGCCAGCACATATTTTAAATGATTCACTATCCTGATAATAAAGACAATTATAAATGTTTCTTGAGTTGTCTCTGGGGATTTTTACACTTATTGGTATATTTCTGTTCACTAGATAATACCAGTTTACCAATTAGCTAATACTATGCTGGGGGAGAAAACCAAGAAACTACCTTGGAAATGCTTAGGAAATCTCCTTTCTTTACTTATTTGAAAGGTGAGTACCCAAAGTCAGCAACACCAAATACCAGAAGCCACATCTTGACCCAATGCATCTCCATAGTCTCCTTTCTTTTCCATTCAACTCCAGACACGCATTATGATTTCAACTCTCCCAAATACCTGTGGTTCCTCAAATGCCTCATTCTTATCCTTCCCAGCCTTTGCACATGCTGTTCTATATGGCTAAAACACTCTGTGTACATGCATGTGTGTACACACACACACACACACACACACACACACCTGCCAGGCAAATTTTTACCTGCTCTTCAAGACTCAGCTCACACCATCACCTCCTCTCTACAGTCCCCTGCACAGCACTAGCTCCAGGAACACTGAGGTCACATCGCTTAGCACACTTTTATATCACATATTTATAATGTGTTTCCTCCACTAAGCTGTGACCTCCCTGAGGGCAATAGCTATATGTGTCTTAGTTATCTTTCTACCCACACTACCAGACAAATAGTAGGTACTAATAAAGGTTTGTCAGAGTGAGTAAGCCTCCTCCCTCTACTCCCCAAATCATGCTGCCTTCCAAATATTAACTGTTAGAAGAAAACCCAAGGGCTTGTGTGTCCAAGGACAAAATCATAAAACACTGAGCATGTGTTCCCTAAAAGCCTTTATATTTGTAATCTGCCCACCCGAACACTTACCCACATTATCCCTGCCCTACCACTACCACTCTATACCTGGCTTTCTTCCCCTCATTCAATATTTAGCTTTCCAGGAACCTTCTCTGATTTCACAAAGCACCCTATGCTCAGTTATCATGAGATTTATCATGTTGTTTACTTGGGGAGTGTGTTTTATTCTTTATTAGAGATCCAGTATCTAATACCATACACATTAGAGATGCAGTAAGTATTCCATTTGCTAGTGAATTCGAGTATGTTCTAAAATGGCATTTCCCAATTTGTGAGAAGCATACCACTGATTCTGGGTGGGACACAGACCTAGCACTAAAGAACCTTAAATCACACAGTGAGAAACTCATTCTTTCCCATTATTTTTCAATCTGATGACATCAGGGAGAAAGTATAAGTTTGAAACTAGTATGTTATTAAGACTTCTCTGAGATTTGCTTCTCTCTATGACTACAGACAACCTTCGTTAGACAAGCTATTTGGCTAGAATTTAATAATATTGCTTTGCTTTTATTAGATCATTTTTAATTAATTTCTATTCGTGGCAAATGGTACAGGTTTGACACTAAGATAATGATGTAAAGTGTTCTAAAAAGAAATTTAGTTGAGAGGAAAAAAATGCACATATTTAAATAAATATATTAAGTAAATGATAGTACAGATTTATATGCAGATATAGCATAGGAAAATAACTCAAGTCTAAGAATCTCTGTTCTTCACATACCCATATGTACCTTTCCCTCTAAATGCCTACACCTTTGGAATACTATACTTGCATCATTCTCAAATATTTTCCATTTGTAAGTCTTACCTAACCTAGACATTACTCCTTGAGGTCAGGATAGGAGCCATCAAGTCTACCTATAATTATTGGGGATCTAAAATATGTCAAGGAGTATAGAGGACGTGAGAAAGAAAAAGACAAAATCATTTCTTCTATTTGTTTTGCGTACTTCACTAAGGGTAGCTCCAGTGTATACCAAAGACTTTGTCCCAACTTAATGTTTTCAATCTTTCTCTAGCCTTCTTTCTACACACTGTTTCTATACACTCAAAATATACTCCCAGTTCTTCCCTAATCAGTCTCCATCACAGATCCATAGCCAGGGCTATGCTCACACAATTTTTCCCACCTGTAATTCCCTCCTAGCTCAGCAACATGTGTGACTCTCATGGAGTTCCACCACCATGAAGCCTTCCCTGATTCCCTCATCCCCAAATTATTCACCACTTCCAAAGCATTTATTTATACTTCCACAAAAGCACTTGTCATCCTCTGTTGTATATAAATTATGAATATATCTCCCAAGTTCTGTGAGAATTGATTTATTAGTCTTGCTTGAAATGTTTTAGAAGAGTTTCCTGATTTGCCTGCCCCTGGATTTCTAAACTCCACTACATTTTACAGAAACAGCTTACAAAGTATACCTTCCAGAAGTGCACCTGTCTCTGATTGTTCACTCCACCATTCAAAAATCTTCAGTGACTATGCAATGACTGTCTCCAAGGCATTCTGCAATCTGGTCCAAAACTTACTTTTCATTCATTCAACAAATATTTAGTCAGGCCCACTATATACTACTCATTGGGATAATCTCCCCTTTCCTCCAAGCCATCTCTGTTCATTTATTCTATATCAAACACTGTGCTGGACACTCTGCATGCATTCTGTACTTCTCTTAGTCTTTGCAGTGACTTGTTGTGGAAAGAACTATTATCCCCATTTTACATATAAGGAAACGGAGAATCAGAGCAGTTAACTTGGACAATATTACACTACTAATAAATGACAGAGCCAAGATTATGTCTTTCTGACTTCAAAGCCAATGCTCTTGATAATCTCTACCTTCCACTAGCAATTTCTCTATTCATGTCCCTTGATTTCCTACCTTTATGTCTCTCCTTTCCCTAAACTATCAAAGCCTTTCTCAGGTGTCTTTCTTAGAGCACTCAAGTCTACTAGCTTGTATTCATATTATTCATTTAGAAGTTCCTTGACAGCAGAATATTCTGATTCTTCTTTGTCAGTAGCACCTAATCTAGTGCCCACAGTGTGGAAGATGTTCAATGTTGTTGAATGGATAAATAATTTACCTACTTCCCCATAAAGTGGCAGGCATAAGTATTTAATAAACTTCCCTTTAATATTAATATTAAATACACCCCAAACTGAGTAAAACTTAAGCACTTTCTGGCTTGGTTTAAATATAAATATATGACTCTATTCCTGGTCTCACAAGCACAGCAAGGGGGCTCTGAAGTTAATGGCTCCATCATCTGCCCAGCTGCCTAGCAAGAAACTTCAGATTTGGCATCAACCCTTCCTTCTCCATCTTTTAGTCAGTCATTGATCCTCTGCTTTCTGTATTGCTGCTGCCTTAGGTCAGACCTTTTATCTTTGCACTGGACTACTATGACTGCCCTCTAACAGAACTCTGGCCTCCAATCTCTCCCAGCCCAGCTCCGTCCTAGTTCTCCTTCCTCCAGATCTGACCATGTCATCCCTACCACAAAGGAGCAGCAAAAATCCCAAAATTTCAAAACCAAACTTCAGGGCAAACTGCATTATTGTCTTTTCCCACCCCAGCAGAGAAGTCAACCAGAGGAAAGCCATCCTAGGTCTGCACGGTGCAAAGTTACAACAGCCTAACACAGGTTTCATAATCTCGGCTACCCAGTTACTCCTAACCCACATAGGTGGGGATCTCTAGCACAAATTCATGCATCCCTTCTTCCATTCTGTCCCCCTCCCCTCTGGGAGCTTCTTCATCCACTTTCAGTGTTCTTCGCTTTTAATCCACTATCTTGCTGATGGACTACTATTTGTCCTTTGATTTGTGGCACTAAAGCAATACAAGCTCTTGTTTGAATCCACTGTATTTTTTTCTGGCTTCTCGCCTAAGCTGTAGAGCTCCTCACCACCACAACCACTACCACCATCACCATACTCTCTCCTCTTCCTAGAATAAACCTTTTATCCTGTTTCAACTATTCAAAGAAGCTGGAAACCCAGGGCTAAAGTGTCTTCTACTACCCCTGGATTTTTTGATCCCTGGCAGAGGAGCCAGAAAAAAACAAAACAAAACAAAAACGTGAGTGCCTTTTAACAATGAGGCCATTAGAGGGGCTTGGAGTCCAAAATCATGACCCTGCTTAGGTACCTCTGAAGGCTTCCCGCCACAGCTCATTCTCAGCAGTCAATCTAAGTCACACAGAGTACAATTTCATACATCTAAATTATCAAAGTAAATTTAGTCTGGAAGGATACCAAACAAAATATTTATATATTCCTCAACTTGGGCTTCAGTCTTGCCTGCCTCCAATTCAATCTCCCTTATATAGCACGGTCTAAGTAAATCTAACCCTATCACTTCTCTATCTTTTTTAAATTGATTTATTTGAAAGAGAAAGAGAGGAGGAGGAGGAGAAGCACAGGGAGAGGGACATGCAGACTCTGTGCAGAACACGGAGCCCGATGTGGGGCTCGATCCCACAACCCTGAGATCATGGCCTGAGCTGAAACCAAGAGTCGGTTGATTAACCAACTGAGCCACACAGATGCCCCTCACTTCTCTTGTTCAAAAACCTTCAGTTTTGGACTTTCTGAGTCACTGAAGACAATGGGGAATGTAGAGTAGCTGACTTCCCAAAATTTCATGCCAAACAACTTCACATTTTGAAAATTCTACATAAAACCACACCTTCAGCATTACTTGAAGACAGAGAACACTGAAACTGCAAAATAACTGTTTAAGTAAAATAAGAAAAATCATTCAGTCGCAGAAATATCGGGGCTCTGATCCTACATGCTCCAGCCCCACCCCAAGCAGGGCTTTGTGGTCAGCAGGGAAGAGAAGACGGACACTAAAAAAAGTGCCTGCAGGAGAGCTGGAGCAACCAACAGAAAGATTAAACCAACCCTAAATCTGAAAATACTAAAACAAAACCCTACAGATTAGAGCAAAAACTACAGAAAAGGGATTTCAATGGGCAATTTAAAGGGCCAGACACCACATAAAGTACCAAACATGCCATTTAATGGAACGGACTCAGTTTAAAGGGGCAAGCATGATTTAAAGGGACAGTTTTCCAATTGCATGGCTTCCAGGAGAGAAAAAGAACAAAATGGAAGGATCATAAATTAGGTCACACAGAAAACATCAGTAGCATCCATAAAAGTGCAGACCTTATAAACACTCAGATTATAATGCAATAAAACAGGGACACCTTCAGCTCAGGTCATGATCTCAGGGTCCTGGAATCGAGTCCCACATTGGGCTCCTTGCTCAGTGGGAGCCTGCTCCCCCCTCTGTCTGCTGCTCCCCCTGATTGCTCTCTCTCTCTGACAAATAAGTAAATAAAATCTTTTAAAAAAATTATGCAATAAAACAGTTTACTAACAAAAACAAAACAGAAAAGTCCTGGAGATTAAAAAAAAAAACAAAACTTGAATCTATTAAGCAACTCTAGAGTGAGAAGGGTAATACAAACTGAAATTACAGAATTTAAAAAAATAGTGACAATGGAAACACGACATATTAGAATCTATGGGATTTAAAGTAGTGGTTAGAAGAAAATGCATTGCACTAAACACTTATCAATAAAAAGGAAGAATAAAAATAAATGAATGAAATGTCCTGCTGAAAAAAAAGTATAAAAAGAACAAAGTGAGCCAAAAGAAAGCACATGTAAGGAGATAACAAAGTTTCATCTTTATTATTTATCTTTATTTTTTAATGAGGAAGAGACTAGAAAAACAAGATGTCTCATTAATAAATCAAAATCCTGGTTTTTTTAAATTAAAACAAACAAAACACTGGCTAACTTGATCAAGGAAAAGGGGGAATACACATACATACAGGAAAAATGACACTTGGGAAACAACCACTGAAACACAAGACATTTTTTTTTAATTATAAGATACTACTTTGCAGAATTCTATGCAAATAGATTTAGAAACGCAGATGAAATAGAGAATTTCCTAGGGAAATATAGATTACCAAAATTGACCCATCCGAATTAGAAAGCTTAAAAAGAGCAATTTCATAGAAGATATAGAAAAAGTTGTTAAGAAATTATTCCACAAAAAGCACTAGAGCCAGATGATTTCACAGAAGAATTCTACCAGGTAGTCCCACTGTTCTATAAATTTTTCCAGAGCATTGAAAAAGAAGGAAAAGTTTGTAATTCCTTGTATGAAGTAAGTGTAACTCTAATACCTAAGCCAGATGAAGAAGTACAAAGAAAGAAAAACTACAGATCACTATCTCTCATGAATACCAATGTAAAATTCTGAAGAAATTATTAGCAAAGTCCAAGCTACTTTAAGAAAATAACATCATAACCAAGTAGGATTTATTGCAGGAATGCAAGGTTGGTTCAATATTAGAAAATCCATTTATATTATATACCATACTAATAAATCTAACAGAAAAATGTGTTTATCTCCATAGGTCTGAGAAAGCCTTTGACAAAATTCAACACTCATTTACAATTTAAAAAAATGAAGAAAATAAAAATTGAGGAATACTTTTTAATATTTTTAATATATATGCCTTTGTCCTAAAGCCAGTACCTTATTTAATGAAGAACACTAGAGGCATTCCCCTGAGGTCAGGAATAAGGCAAGGATGCCCACAATCTCCACTACTATTGAACACTGTACTCAAGGTATTAGTAATGCATGTAGTAAGACAAAACAAATCTACTGCAGGCATAAGAATGGGTAAAAAAAAAAAAAATGAAATTATCTCTGTTTACAAATAACATCACAGTATACCTGGACAATCATTAGTATCAATAATAAAACTTACTCTAACAATAAAAGAATGCAGTGAAATGCTAGGATTGAAAGTTAACATACAAAAACCAATAGGCTAAGTAAAAGAAGATAATCAAGAAATCTCACATATTTATGAGACAATTTATATGAGATATCCAGAATAAGCAAATCTATGAAGACAGAAAGTTTAGCCTTTGCTTAGCACTGGGGTTAGGGGTAGGGGAGGGCAGTGAGAGGGAATAGTGAGTGTTAATGGGTATAGTGTACAGTACTAATAGGCATAGGTTTTCTTTTGGGGCATTAGAAATGTTCCAAAATTAGAATGAAGAGGAGTAAGTCGGAGGGGGAGACGAACCATGAGAGATGATGGACTCTGAAACACAAACTGAGGGTTCTAGAGGGGAGGGGGGTGGGGGGATGGGTTAGCCTGGTGATGGGTATGAAAGAGGGCACATTCTGCGTGGAGCACTGGGTGTTATGCACAAACAACGAATCATGGAACACTACATCAAAAACTAATGATGTAATGTATGGTGATTGACATAACAATAAAAAATTTAAAAAAAAAGAAATGTTCCAAAATTGAATGCGGTGATGGTCTCACAACTCTGTGAAAAGCATTGAGTTGTACACTTTTAATAGGTGAGTTGAATGAACTGCAGGTGGAGGGATAAGCCTTAAAAAAGAAGGAAGACTTCTCCCAGAGATAGAAATGCTCTGTATCTTAATTGTGGTGGTGTGTTACTAGAGATACAACTTTATCAAACCTCCTCAAAATGTATATAAAATCAATCCTAAATACAGTTGATTTTTTTTAGAGATCAAGAAGTGGGGCTCCTGGGTGGCTCAGTTGGTTGAGCTTCCCAGTCTTGATTTCAGCTCAGGTCATGATCTCAGCGTCCTGAGATCAAGCCCCACCTCAGGCTCCACGCTGAGCAGAGTCTGCTTCTCCCTCTCCTTCAACTTCTCCCCCTGCTTGTTCTCTCTCTCTCTCTCTCTCTCAACTAAAGATCAAGAAACTTCCTATATACTAACAATAAACAGAGGGGATTATGGAGGAGGAAACCCCATTTACAACAGAAAATCAAACACCTAGGAATCAATTTAGCAAAGATACACGCAAAACCTACAGGAAATTTTCAAATCTAGAACATTCCCAAGAGACACAAAAGCAGACTGAACAAATGTTAAGACATTCTATTTTTAGAGAGGAAGCGCCTCAACCTGGTAGACGTCAGTTCTCCTTAAGCTAATATAAAAATTCAGTGACTCCTAGGAATACCAACAAGCACGCCTTGGCCCCCCTCACTGTGGGGGACGCAAGTGGCTCCACCCAGCGACCACTCCTGTCAGTCTGACTGACTTTAAAAGCCCGGCACGTGCCTTTCGGCGCGCTATCCGGGACTCGCGTGAAGCCAGGGACCCGCGGGGCTCATATTTCGGCCCCGCGCAGGCGGCTGGACTGACAGGAGGTCGAGCCCGGCCGCCCACCGCCCGAGGGGCCCCCCAGGCCGCGGGCCGCGCGGGGTTACCGCTGGGCTGGCTCCGCCGCAGCTGGGCCGGAAGGCTGACAGGACGCTGACGGAAGGCCGAGGGCTGAGGCGCCCACCGCCCTGGGACCGAGGCTCCCGCCCACCCACCGCCCCCTAGGCGCCACCTGCTCGCGCCGCCGGCCGGGGACAGCTCCGCGCGCTCGACGCCCGCGCCGGTGGGGAGGCCGCGGGGGCCCGGGACCGAGGGCCGGGGGTCAGCTCCGCGCCGGCCGGGGCCGCCGCCCGCGGCTCCTCGGGGCTGCAGTCGGCCCCGCGCTCGGTGCTCCCGCGGCCCTGAGCCCGGCGGCCGCCGAGCTGCAAGATGCCGCCGCACCGGTGCGAGCCGAAGCGTGTCACGTAGACGAAGCGCGCCAGGTCCCGCTCCTGCTCCCGGCCGGCCGCCGCCATCGCCGCCCTGCTCGCGGAACCGCCACCAAGTTTCCTCAGCGACCCGCGGAACGCACGGCCGGCGCGCGGGGACGCGAGCGGACTGCGAGGACCGGGCGGCGGGGGCGGGGCCACTGTGCACGTGCGGGGGGGAGGGCCGCGCGCTGCAGCGGGACCGCGGGGCGGGGCATGTGCGGGTGGGGTGCGCGAGGTAGGCGGGACGCCGAGTGGTCGGGGGTTGGGGGGTGGAGACAGCGCCTGGGGCGGACCGCACTGCAGTGAGGCGGGGAGCGCGAAGGGTTTGGTTGGGGCGATGGTGGACCACTCAGCTGGAATGTGGTGTTAAGGTTTGGGGACCGCATCATTGGGGGTAGGGAGCAGACTGTGGGGGCACAGCCCTCTGAAGAAATGAGCTGAACTAAGATGAGGTGGGGGGAAAGGCAGTAGGCCACTGGGGCGCCCTCCCCGCGGCTGGGTGTGGGGAAGATTTCCGAGTGAGGAGCTGACCCTGGATTTGACCAATCTGGAGCGTAGGTCAGTGAAGTTGGGGACCTGGGGGAGGGGAGAGGAGACGGCACCCTTTGCTGCCGGAGAGTTCCAGCGGGACCTTGGCCTGGTATATGTTGTGCTGGGCCGTGGGCCTGAGGCCAGCGTCTTACACCGACTTGAGGCCCATCGTTGTTCCGCTGCTGCCCAGCTGGATTATTTGGGCAAGCTACTTCTCTTCTCTAAGCTTCCAGTTTCCTCAGAAGTAAATTCAGGATGACTGGGTTGTTAAATCAAAATAAGGCATATTAGGCATCTGGCACATAGAGAGTGTTCCCTTAGACTTAACCTTCATGTCACATTTATTGAGTACATACCCTATGAAGTGCATGTGGAAATATCTTTACATTTATACTTTACAGATGGTTTTCCCGTAGACCATCCTTTTAAATCCATGCGGCAATTTACAGCAGAGGAACCGAGGCTCCAGAACGAGTGACTTCCCCAAAGTAATGGGCAGCGATAGAGACATATTTTCTTAAAATGAATCTTTTTAATTGAATTATAAATATGTGCAGAAAAGTACACCGATCATCAATATACAGATGGATGAATTTTAACACACTAAATATATCCATGTATTATCCACCCAGGTTAAGAAATGGTGCACTGTAGAAGCACCTCATGTCCTCGCCCAGGCCCAATCCCTTTGCTTTCTTTCAGATTCAAACAGCATCAGTGAGGTTTGCCCCTTCTGTTTGACTTCCTTCACTCAAGCTATGTTTGTGAGATACAAGTTATTATATGAGTTTGTACATCTGACTCTAACTCCATTTATTCCTCTATTCCACTGTTGATGGACATTTGGTTGTCTCCAGTTTGGGGTCGTTGTGAACAGTGCTGCTAGGAACATTAATATATATCTTTTGTTGAACATGTATTAAAAAGTATATATTTTAGTGTGGAATTGCTGAGGGCATTCATAGGTTCAACTTTAGTAGCTACTGACAAACAGGTACCTGGAGCGCTTGTACAAATTTTCACTTCCGCCAGCAAAGCATGAGAATTCCAGTTGCTCCAAATGTTCAGCATCACTTGGCATTGTCAGTGTTTTTCATTTTAGCCGTTGTGATGGATATGTGTATTAGGGCTTTCCAGAGAATCAGAGCCAATAAAGATGTGGGTGTGTGTGTTTGGTGGGGGGGGGGGGCATGTAAAGAGAGAGAGAGGTTTTAAGGAATTGGCTTACATAAATATGGAGGCTGCCAAGTCCAAAATCTTCAGGATAGGCCAGCAGGCTGGAGACCCAGGGAAGAGATGATGCTGCAGTTCAAGTCTGAAGACCATCTGCTGGCACAACTTCCTCTTCTTCAAGAGAGGTCATTCTTTTTCTATTAAGTCCCTCAAGTGATTGATTGGAAGACGTTCAACCATACTATGGAGGGTAATCTGCTGTATTCAAAGTCTACCCATCTAAATGTTAATGTCATCAAAAAATACCTTCGCAGAAACATCTACAGTAATGTTTGACCAAACATCTGGGTACTGTAGCCAAGGCAACTTGACACGTAAAATTAACGGACATAGTGTGGTATTGCTTTCTTGTAATTTGCATTTTCCTGATGACTTAGGAAGTTGGGCTCATTGGCTATTCTCCCTCCACCCCTCTCCCCCACTCTGCTCTCTTTCTCTCTTGCTTGCTCTCTCTCCAGTAAATAAATAAAATATTTAAAAATTAAAAAAATCTCTTGTCTATTTCTATATGGGGTTTTCATGCTGTTCTCAATCATTACGAGGAGTTTTTTATATATTCTGTATATTAGCTATTTGTTAGCTGTATGTATTGCAAATTTTTTCCTCATCTGACTCACCTTTTATTCTATGAACTCTTAAAAGTTTTTTAACTTTAAAGTAGTCCAATATATCAATATTTTTCTTTAGAATTATACTTAATGCATTTGGTTTAATAAATCTTTACATATTCTAGGGTATTATCCTCTGTTATCTTCTAGAAGCTTTATTGTTTTATCTTCACATTTAAATATTCAATCCACCTGGAATTGATTTTTATGAATAGTATGATGTAGTGAGCCAAGATTAATTATTTCTTTATATGGATATCCAGTCCACTTTGGCTAAAACCTCCAATATAAGGTGAATACAAATGATGATAGTGAATATCCTTGTCTTATTTCTGATCTCAAAGGATAGTTTCGGTGTTTTATTATTAAGTATAATATTTGCTGTAAATTTCTTTTTTTATCATGATATTTATCAGATTAAGGAAGTTGCCTTCTATTTTGAGTTCAGTTTGGTGTTAAGTTTTATCCAATATTTTGGCTATAATCTATTGAGATTGTTATGTAATTTTACTCCCTTATTCTGTAAATGTGATGAATTGATCGAATTCTAATGTTAAACCAACCCTCTGTTTGGGTTAAATCCTACTTTCTTGTAACATATTATCATACTATATGATTGCTATACCTTTAAATTTGATTTTTTTAAATGTTTTCTTTAGACTTTTCACTTCTATGTTCATGAGAGAGAATGGCTTACAACTTCTTATGTATTTGGTAGAATTTATTGATGAAGACATCTGGGCATGGAGTTTTCTTCGTGAGGTCTTTAGTAGTTATAGGATTATTCAGATTTTCTATTTCTTTTTGGGTCAGTTTTGTAAACTGTGTTCTTCTAGGATTTGTCGATTCCTTCTGTCATCTAAAACTCAGTAGCAAAAATTGTTCAAATATTCCTTCATTGTCTTCTTAATGTCTCTAGGAGCATTGGGATATCCCCTTTTTCATTCCTGATATTGATAACTTATGCACTCTTTTTATCTGATTTGTTCTCAACAGTATGTTATCAATTTTATTAATATGTTCAAAGAATCAACTTTTGACTTTGTCAATTCCCTCTATTGTTCCCTAATTCTTTTTATAACATCCTGAGATGGATATTTAAATCACTGACGTTGAGACTTTTTTTCTAATGCAGGCACGTATAGCTATACATTTTCCTCTGAGCATAGCTTTAGCTGCATGCCACAAGTTTTGTGTGTCATATTTTCATTATTCAAGATGTTTTTATTGTAATATTTTAGGTATGGATTGTGTATAAGTATATTGTTTCATTTCCAAACATTTGGGAGCTTTTCAATTTTTTTGTTATTTATTTTTAGCTTAATTCCATAGTGGTCAGTGACCATACTCTGAGTGATTTCAGTCCTTCGAAATTTTCTGAGACTTGCATTAGATTACAGCACGTGGTCTACTTTTGGGAACTAACTGTGTGCAATTGAAAAGTATGTGTATTCTGTAGTTGTTGGGTCTAGTGTTCTATATATGCCAATTTGGTCAAATTTGTGAAGTGTCTTATCTAGGTTTCTTAATCAATGTATCCTGTTGATTTCTATTTATGTATGTTGTACTATCAGCTAAAGTAGGTCAGACTGTTCTATCAGTTACTGGCAGAGGTATGCTGAAAATCATCCTCTATAGCTCTGGATTTTTTGTTTGTTCTTTTTGTTCTATCAATATTTGCTTAGTATGTCTTTAACTGCTATTAGATGCCTACACATTTAGAATTGTTATATCTTCTGGTAATTTGACCCTTTTATTTTTATGAAGAGTTTCTCTTTATCTCTAATGATGCTTCTTGGCATATATTCTAGTGGTTAGTGTTTCATTTTCATTATTCATTATTCAGTTTTCATTTTCATTATTTTACTTTCAACCTTTCTTCATTCTTGAGTTTATAATGTCTGTTGTAAGCAGCATATAGATTATTTTGGTAATTCTGGGCGCCTGGGTGGCTCAGTTGGTTAAGATTATTTTGGTAATTCTACAATGTATTTTAAACATCATGAGACATTAATATTATTACTGTTTTAAACAGTCAATATTCATTTTGATTTACTGATTTTTGGTATATTTACCCTCTCCATTGTGTTTTTATTCATTCATACATATCCATTTTTCCAAATGGGATTATCTTCCCTCTACCTATAGGACAACCTTTACGTTTTACATTAGTGTGGTTGTACTGGTGATGAATTTACTTAGTATTTGTTTATCTGATATGTCTTTTTGTAATGATTTTTAAAGAACGTTTTTGGTGGGAATCAAATTCAAGGCTGCCAGCTATTTTCTTTCAGTGCTTTGAGGAAATTCTATTGTTTTACAATTTCTATCGCTTTTGAGAAGTCAACTGTCAGTCATATTACTGCCCCTTTAAAAGTAATGCATCTTTTCCCTCTGTTTTTCAGATTTTATTTTTGTCGTTACTTTTCAGCAGTTTTATCGTGAAATGACTCAGTATAATGGTCTTTGCATCTATCCTGTTTGGGCTGCATAGTGTTTCTTGAATGTGTACTTTGATATCATTTATCAGTTTTGGTTAATTCTAGGCTATTATTTTTTCCACCATTGCTTCTGCTAAACTCTTTCCCTTTTTTCCTGAGACCCCACTACACATGTTAAATCTTTTTACCCTGCTCCGTATATCCGTTTTGCTCTTTTCTGTGGTTTCTGTCC